ATCCAACCGTCCATATCCGATGACATCTCGGACCGGTTTCCCAGTCTGAATCAATTCTCATTGCTTCATCATAAGGGAAGCAAATTCGATTTTGACCCCCAAAGCCCAACGGCCCCGAAACCGACTGTGGCCCCCAAAGTAAACATGGCCGACAAGCTGGCCGACTCCGCGTTTGCTGCATCTAGGCAAGCTGCTTCTGTAACTACAATAGTGGAGCGACCTCACTCTGTCACGCCGGTCGTGAGCAAGCCACTTACTCTGCTGCCAGCGACGTCTTCGGCGTCTATGAAACTATCAGCATCTCAACCTGTCAGTGGTCGGCCTGTGCCTATCCAGCCGCTCGCACCTTCGACTACTGTTTCTCGATATGTATCAACTGGTACGATGACCTCCGAACCTGTAGATGATAGAAACCCAATTGCTGCAGTACCTCTGGCTCAGCCAGCGACACAAAAGCCCATTGTGCGCTCGGCCTCTGTTGCTGTTCGCCCGACACCTTCTGCTGCTTCGATACAGGCTCCCAGACCACAAGTCCGCCCAGATACACCTGAAACTCCAAAGTTTGAGAATGTGCGTGGCTACTCCGATTTTAATGCGAGCCGACCCCGGCCCGTCAGCACCAACTTTGACAGCCGGCAGCAATCATTATCAGATCGCAACAAAGCACCGACTCATCAGGGTTTTGAGGCTCCCGTGCGCGACGGATTCGAACATATTCAAAAAGAGTCTGGCGCTCCCGGAAACTCTAAACGAAGCAGTGTTTATATTGAGGCTAGTAATGTCAACACCCGACCGGACGAACAGCCTCGCGATGGTGCTTTCGGAAATGCATTCAGCAAATTTGAGCAGGTATCCTATAGTACTGGTGAGAAGAAGCAGCCGGCGCAAACCTGGGCGCCATCAAACAACCGTATCGGCCTCGACAACAAGGGCGAGAAGAGTAGTGGAGATGATAGCGATGAAGAGCTGACGCCGGAAATGCGCCGTGAGCGCGAGCGTCTGCAGCTAGAGGAAGAAGAGAAACGGGTGGCTGCGGCGCAGTCTGAGTACCGGCAGCGACTTGTCGGCGCAGCGCAGGGAAAGAAACCTGTCCCCGGACCAAAGCCCAACAGCATACAAAACAGAATGCAGGCTTATATGGGCGAGGAACAGACGCAGAATACCGTGGCACGGACGGCTGAAGGCTACGGCAAGTATGCAGATGCGGCCACAGCTGCCAGCAAGCCCAAGCCGCAAGTCAAGCGAAAGCCCGTGCTCGATGGCATCGCCCGCTCAAGCACCATACCACAGGCGACAGCGTCAACGGCCCAAACAGACATTACACCCGTTGCGAGCGCACCATCTCTCACGGGCCTCAACAAACCTATACCTCGGCCGCCGCCCAAGAAGCCAGAATATCTGGCCAGCATCCCCACGGGTGCCGGCGCCAGCGGACGGTCGCTTTCGCCAGTAAAGAATAGGTCGCAGAATCAGCCAGAGCAGCTAGTTGCGGAAGACCTGCCCGGACAGCCAGTCATGGAGTGGTCTGCGCAAGACAAGGAAGATTATATAGACGATTTCTCGAAACGATTCCCTAGCCTAAGTGCTATCGAAGGAGGTGGTGGCGGTAGATAGAGTTGGCATATAGCGAAGCAGCGTCTGTAGCATTCATGTATGCGTATATACGGTTGTATGAAAGCGCGATGAATATGACACATTCTTCTTGCATTCTTATTTTAGTCATTTGATCGAAGTATGTATTTGTTCTTATTTTAGAGTATTGCTACTCGTACAGAACTATTTTGCTATTTATACAGATACACGCCACCGCCTCTAATAGGTAGAATAGGCTAGAAAAAGTGGCTTCTATGAGCCTAGTAGGGTAATAACTCTAAAAACTAATAAAAATATATTTTTTAAGTAGCGAGCGTTAAGAGACTCTGCGAGCAGGCGGCAGCGGCAGCAGGGCGGTAGCGGCGAGTGTGTGTTATAGGGTTATAGTAGATAAGCTAGAAAACAGAGGTACCTAGGTACCTTTAGAAATCCACCAGTGCTACTTATAAATCATCTGTATAAATAGCAAAATAATTCTGTACGAATAGTAATACTCTTATTTTATTTAGAGGTAAACAGAAAGTCATGTAAGTCACTTTTATTAGTGGGTTCCGTGGTGGCCCAGAGAGGTTGAGAGGCAATTGGAGCTTATCTTATCGGCGTGTCCCAAAACTTTTTTCTTCTCATTGACGGGGGGGCACTTTTCTGGAGCATCTTTTCTTTCAGTCTACAATAAATCACATCACCTCACAATAATGGCGAAAAGAAAGAGACAACAAGCTTCGACAGCTGAAGCTTCAGAAGATACGAAACAAATCCAAAATAAGAAAGCAAAATCCACCCCGGGCACGACCACGAAAGCAAATGGCAGCTCATCTGCCACTCTGCTGCCCGAGACCCTTCAGATCATTGCAGGCTCATACGACCAAGTGCTGCACGGCATAACGGCGAATCTACACCATAGTGCTGAGTGCCAATTTGCCGACACTTTCCTATTCAACGCGCACAGCTCGGCGATTCGCTGCGTGGCCGTGTCGCCCGTGTCGGCCAAAATTTCCGGGCAGGCGCAAAAGGTGCTCCTCGCGACCGGCAGCACCGACGAGCGAATTCACGTGTACAATTTGTCTGCGCACCCGCCGCCTCTGGACAAGAAGGGACGGGCGCTGCTGGCGACAGTGGCGCCGCGGCCGATACTGGAGAACCCCAAGAACCGCGAGGTGGGCACATTGCTGCACCACTCGTCGACGGTGACGGCGCTGCGGTTCCCGACGCGCTCCAAGCTGCTGTCGGCTAGCGAGGACTCGACGATTGCGGTGACGCGAACGCGGGACTGGTCGGTGCTGAGCACGATCAAGGCGCCGATCCCCAAGGCTTTCGGGCGGCCGAGCGGCGACACGGCCCCGTTTGACGGCACCCCGTCGGGCGTCGTCGATTTTGCCATCCACCCAAGCATGAAGGTCATGATTAGCGTGAGCAAGGGTGAGCGCTGCATGCGGTTGTGGAACCTGGTGACGGGTAAGAAGGCGGGCGTGCTGAGCTTCACGCGGGACATGCTCGTGCAGGCCGGCGAGGGCAAGCACGCGAGTGGTGAGGGGAGGAGGGTGGTCTGGGGCAGCGCCGACGGCGCCGACGAGTTTGCGGTGGCGTTTGAGAGGGATGTCGTGGCGTTTGGCATGGACAGCGTGCCCAAGTGCCGCGTCATGCCGTTCAGGACCAAGGTTCACCAAGTCACCTACATCAGCCTGGACAGCGTGGGAAAGGATGGACAAGAAGGGGAGAGCGGCGATTCCGTCATGGCAGTGTCTACTGAAGACGGTCGCGTACTCTTCTTCTCGACCAAGGCGGACGACCTGGTGAAGCAGGAAATCACCGAGGGCGAGGGCGAGAAGCTGCCTCTTGCCAAGCTTCTGGGCCAGGTGGGCGGCAAGGACACCGGCGTAACCAGCCGCATCAAGGACTTTGCGGTGCTCCGCAGCCAGCTGAACGCCGGTCTGTTGTACGTCGCAGCGGCGAGCAGCGATGGCAAGGTGCGCGTGTGGACCGTCACAGACGAGGCGCTGCGCGCGGGTCAAGGAAAGCAAGTTGGCGAGCTCGCAGGCCTGTACGAGACGCATAACCGCATCACCTGCCTGGCGGGGTTTGTCATGATCCCGCGGCCGGATGATGCCGAGGACAGCGAGGAGGAGCTTGAGGAGGAGGGGGAGGGTAGTGATGACAGCGAGAATGAGAGCGATTAATTCAGTTGCATAAATTTTGATGAATGGATAAACAAGGCGCATTGAGCATTTACTCCACGTCCCACGTCAATACAAGCATGCGGGCTAGAGCTCCTTGGTGAAAGAGGCTCTACCTAAATATGGCATGCAGCCACGGCGCCCAGGAGCAAAATATATCCAGTCGTCGAACTGCAATTATGCAAGTTCCATTGGCACGGTGTTTCAGGAAATCGCCGTGTATATCATGTCACACATATTCTTCAGCTACTCACAGTCCACATTATACAAAATTCAAGCAAATAAGTTCCGGATCATCTCAGCGGTCCCTTTTCCGCAGCCTGTGCCTTGGCCCATTCAACGATACCCTTGACACTATCAATCGCAGTGCCCGTGAGAAGGAGACCAGTCCCCAATTGCTCTTTGCGTTTTCCTTTGCAGGAAGCCAAAGTGAACCGCCGTAATCGCAAAGAGGAACGGCAGTCAAAATTGCTCGTCAGCTGCGATGGACCTGCAACAGGCACACCCAAGTTCCTCGCCCGACTTTTTGGTGACAATGTTTCCTTTGACAGCAAACGCCATCCTGCCCAAATAGAGTTGCAAGACGGGGACCCAGGCGCCTGCGGTCTTGTCCATGGCCATGCAATATCGACAACTCCAGGAGCCCACATACCACGAGGTCGAATGTACCTCTCCCTCTTATCAGGAATTCCATTACATAGAAAGCGACAGTCAACCATCAACATGGCTATCCGGGGCAAAAGGCCAAGTGTGAGCATTGGGCTAACCGGAGATGATTGCAAGTAAACTCCGCCGGGCTGACGGGAGTGTAATGACATGCGACGGATGCCGTTGAGAATCGCACCGGTCACGGATCTATCCTTTGAAAAACCTTGGGCTATCAATAATAGTCGGCGCTACGGGTGACTAGGCAGATGTACCTCGCGTTTGCGACGGACGCTGCTGCGCCAAAAAAAGGATCTTGTCGCGCTGATGTTGCTGTTGCTTATGATACAGAAGGGACGCGCGAGACGCCCGGATGGGAGAAAAAGACTAATGTGCGCAAAGGAAGAGCGCGCGGCACTTCGATGCTACATAGAGAAGCACTGCAGCAATCAAGTTGCCTTGGGAAATAGTACTGTAGTTTTCAATGTAGAATCTGTCAACATAGAATATCGGGCTTGGTTGGTGGAGCTGAGCAATCTTGTCTAGAAAGACATAAAAAGAAATAGCCGCAACTGGCAACAAGAACAACTCTGGGTGGTCTAGTTGGTTCATGGCGTTCGACTGTAATTGAATAATTGTCATCGAAAAGTCGGCGGTTCGACTCCGTCCCCGGAGAATTCTTTTTTTGTTTCTTTTTATGGTGGGGAGCTACAGCCGACTAAAGTAAACAGTGCGGGCATGTGGCGGCAGTAGTCTCTTTTATGCTGGCCGCGATTTCCGTGATGATTTATACTCTTCTTTTTTTCTGTTGGGGATCTTCCGTGAATTCCCGCCAAAGCCCATCCTCAGAGTCTATCTGATTTTGTCCTGTGAGGTCCTCGCTGGTACATCCAGTGAGCCAGTATGGCACGTTGAGGTTCTCTGGGGGTCGAGCAAACAGGTAAGTTTCCAGTCGTTTCCAACAAGACAAATCGCAGAATTAAGAGCACTTAGCTAGAATTACCCAGCCTTGGTATATTCAATTCTAGAGAAAAATTCAGTATATCGATTCGATTTCTCCCCTTGAGCTTGTACTCTCTTCAGGAATCGGCATTTATCAGAATAGCCTTATTATTGCGCTGTGCGAGACCGTGTAAGCCATCGATTTCGTCACAGAAACACACGTTGGCTGAGACTATCGCCAGAATCAATGATTCAAAAATTGGAACTCTCAAATGGGCAATTAATTATAATACATTTTTATTATGCTACCTCAATAGTCTTCCAAAGGTAGGTGCCAGTGACGTAGCTATATGAACACAGCCAAGGTGCCCCGCAGCCAAGCTCTGGCGGGGTCTCGATGCTCACATTGCCCAACATCAAGCAAGGTGTACACTGTATTCAAAACATCGGCGACTTCGCTCCGGCAGAAGGGGCCGTTTCGATGAACCCTTCCTCCGATACACAAAATGCCTTACCCGTTTGTGCTCCCGACAACATCGGCCTTTGCCTTTTCCAACGCCTTTGCCAGCGACTCGCACCCCTCCTTGCCCCTCAGCGCCAGCACGTATCGTGGCGTCGTACGCGACGCCCTCAAAAAACACAAGCGCCTCGGCGCCAGCGCGCAAAACACCAACCTCGGCAGCATCGCGTCCGCCATTGATGCCTACCTACCGTACCTCCTCGCCATCGAGGCCGGCCTGGCGCGGCGGCCGGTCGGCGCGACCGGCCAGCTCGTCGCGGTTACGCCTAGAAACTCGCCGCGCATCGAGTGGCGGCCCACGCTCTCGGGCGAGATCGTGCCGGGACGGGAGCGCGCGCGCATCAAGATTGCGAGTCTGGAGCACGAGGTATGCTTTGTGCTGTCGACGCTGGCGTTTGCCCAGGTCGCGACGTCGAGGGCGTGTCTGCAGCCGCTGTACTCGACGACGGGCAGTGTGCTCGGCGCACAGCAGCGCACGACAGCCATCACGACGGCAACAAGGCATCTCCTGAAAGTCGCTTCTATTTATGACTATATTGCGCGGCGAAGCGAAACGCCGATGCCAGCGCCCCAGGGGCCGCTGCCGCCGCCTTGTGTTGACATTAGTCCGTCGATAGCCAGAGCAATGTCATCGCTTGCGCTGGCCGAGGCAACTCTGCTCGCCATCTTCAAAGACGACCCGTACCCCGCTGCCGTGGCGCAGGACCGCAACGTCAACGACACGGAGTGGATGTACAAGGCTCCCGACATCCCCAAGGTGCGGGCCCATCTCTTTGCGCGTCTCGCCCTGGCCGCGTCTGAACACGCCGCAAAGGCTGTTGCGCTGTGTCAGAGCGGTATCGCGGCGCCCGGGATCAGTGGCAAAATCAGTTCGCATTTGATCAAGTACATGGAGGACTTGCGACGGACGAGCCGCGCCAAAGCTTGCCGCTTCTTTGGCATCGACGCAGAGCTGGGCGGCGAGACGGCGGACGGCATCGGCTGGGCGCGCGCAGGCCTTCAGGAGGTTGGAGTCGATGTTTCGGAAAATAACAAGAAGAATAGCGGCGGATTGGGGTTTGGCAGATTGAAAAGGGAGTTCAAGGAACGGAGAGAAGATCGCAGAGTGGACGGCGATGGCTCCGCCTGGGGCTCAGACGCAGGCAAGCTCGAGGAGACGAGAATATTGGAGCTACTGGATGCAAAATGGAGCAAGATGAATGATACGGTAAGATGCAGCATACACGGTACAACGTCTACCCTCGCGCTGATACTGTATTCAGATGAACACAAAAGCAGTTCCGTCGCCTGCTACTCTGCTGCCAAAGATGCCCTCTGGGCGCGATATACATACTATACAGCCGTACTCTCCACCATTACTAGGTCTAGACATGCTGGATGCCATGAGAGTGCCACCGGAGCGCGAGGATAACTTGGATGGTGACTTGAGCTCCGACGCTGATGAGCCAGGACCGTCGAACCCGCCAGGAGCTTATCCTGGAGCCGATTACTCTGGCGGTCGGACAACAGGAAGTTTCTATTACTGACAGCTTCACCAGCAACCCGTCCTTTTTTTTTTTTTTTTTTTTAAAAAAAAATATTTTT